TTAAAGACTTTTGACTGTATAGACAAAAATAAATCACACCAGACAACTTTTGAGTAAAATGGAGATCCAATGAGTTTATAGAGAACTGAATGGCACTAAGAGGCAAAGAAAAGATGAAAATAGATGCCTCCACAGACAGAGTTCATCCAACTAATAATATTTCTCCTCTTTCTCTTTCTCATCATTTTCCACATACGCTGTTCATTCTTCTTCATACATGTACAGTACAGTTAAATTATCATTTTTTATCTCTCATCAAATATATACACAAATAAGGGAGGTGATATCTTCCTCCTAATAAATATAATAATTCTCTAAAAATAAAGTTAACTAAAATGTGTGCATTTTATGTAGAATTTACTACTCATATATTATCAATTTTAAGGCAATACATTCAAATACTTCATTGTTTATATCTACATTTGTAATCATGCCCTTATCCATTTTTTGCAGCAATTCTACTTTTTGTTTAACCCCTTCGAGCCAGGTAGCGAAAAACCGCTTATCACGGAGCCGCCGGTCTTCCGCGAGCATTCTCCAGGGGCCGGGGCTTTTTTTCATCTAAATCTAAATCCATGGAAATTTCCGAAGTATCAACGCATTGTTTAATAATGCTCTATAGAGTATTTAAACGGCTTATGCTTTATAGATATTTTTATATATTACTTTAATTACCTTATTTCTTGTTTAAATGCATATTTTACACATTTTATTTAATTACTCACCATTTTATGAATTTAACATTATACATCTGAAAACTAAATATATTACTTAAAATTCTCTTTTCATATGAAAAATTTAAAACAGGGATCTACACACAGTCCTACGTTACATTCCTTGCACTCGTAATAACTCATTTGCCGTTTTGGAGGATTTTTCGGGAATGTGAACAGAACCTCAAAGCATCGTCGTCTCATTTTCTTATCAGTCTCTTCTGAACAAAGTTTTGGAAAATGTCTTTCAGTTAATCTTTCAGAATCAATCAATATCAGAATGAAATATTTTGCATCATTTCTGCTATTTCATGCTCTATTAAACATTTTCGACGCTTCGACATTGCAACGGTAAAAACAAAGAATTCACGTCTAACAAGATCTAATTATTTTCTAAAAACTGAACTGTAAAATCGAAATACTCAATAATGCTTAGCGCATATAAAACTTCTACTTATAATAAACAACTACCACGTGCGAATAAAGTGCGATTTAAAGAGACGTCATAAATCACGCCATTTGAAAACATTTAGTTCCCCCATTTGTTTATATAATCAAAAAACACGTGTATGTGAGTCATGTCTGTCATCTCTCATTTTGAGTAGAAGGTCTAATGTACATGTATCTGAAAACATGTGGATACATCTGTGGCAGAAATTATAGTTTGAAAAACGTTCAAGGTACTGGCACAAATACGTGACAGTCGTAGAAAACGCAACAATGCTCTGGCACGCCTGCGTGTCGGCTGGTAGATAAGTGGTTTGTTGCTGGCACGTATACGTGACAGTCGGCGGAAGGGGTTAATGGACTCGAATCACTCATGCTTCGCTTGTAGATCTTGGACAGCTCCAGACCAAAATATTTTTAGTTACAATTCAAAGTTCAGCTCATTTTTAAAATTGCTCTAACCGTCTGCAAATATAATAATTGGACCCAATGCGAAGATGAAGAAACACTCATCGCAACATTACTGAAATAGCTAATAAGATAATTTTAGCTTAGCTTTACCGTCATTTACATTAAACGCGCATCTAATGCATTGCGCATGCATAGGGATACGCACATGCGCAGAAGTTTGCAGCTTTGAGGTCAGATATAGATCATTCCGATTATGATGTCCGATACAGACTTTTGACTGTATGACAAATAATCACACCAGACAACTTTGATAAAATGGAGAGCAATGATTTTATAGCGAACTCTATGGCACTAAGAGGCAAGAAGATGAAAATAGATCCTCCAGGCAGAGACTTTTCATCCAACTATAATATCTCTCCTCTTCTCATCTTTTTCCACATACGCTTTCATTTTCTCATAATGTACAGTACAGTTAAATTATCATTTTTATCCTCATCAATAGATACACAAATAGGAGGTGAATCTTCCTCCTAATAAAAATAATAATTCTCAATAAAAGTTAACTAAAATGTGTGCATTTTATATAGAATTTACTACTCATATATTATCAATTTTAAGGCAATACATTCAAATACTTCATTGTTTATATCTACATTTGTAAACTGGTAAAATTAAAACTTTGTTTATGGATAAATTAATATTTTGAGCTTCAAGCTACTACCTCAGCAGGTTCATAACTTTTACAACTGTTAGTTTGAAAGCACCACTTTTTACCTTCACTGAATAGGTAAGGGCAGTGGCGGATAGAGTCAGCGGGCGACCGGGCATCAGGCTGATCAGGATGAATGGCCTTCAAGAATGAATTACATTTATGGACTGAGGTTTCACTGTAGTGCTAAATTTATTAATGCCCGACAATTGCCTCTATTCAACAACTTATTTACATGCTAAACTGAATTGATCTGTCAAATGATGAATGTATGATGATCTGTCAAATGATGAATGTATGACTGGCAATGTTTCATTTTAACATATTATTATAGATAATCGTAATATAAAATACCATTATGAAATTACTATATCAGCAAGAAAATACCATATTTGAAATTTTCTTTTCTTTACAGTTATTCTTTACCCATTTAATGCACAATGTAATAAATTTATATACATTAAAAACAAATATTACTGCAAGTAAATGCTATGATTATAAGATTAACACCCAATTATATTTAAATTTGAAAGCATTTTTTAATTTAAAAAAATTTTTTTAATGTCAAAATATTATATAAAATGCTTATCATTATGCAGTACAAATTTTAGATTCGGATGTCATGACTTTGGGGATTCTGGAATTTTCCAATCTAGTGCAATACCATGTATAAATTATAAAATAATAAATATACGAATAGTTGTTTTGAAATAACAAAGCATTTACAACCATAAAAAAAAAAATCAAAATTAAAAAAAAAAAAAAGGCTCAATATTTATTTGTTTGCTTTTTTAAACATTTCTTTCAATGTAAGCTGTTTAAGTTGCTTTGTTTTATGTGCTAGTATGTGCTCTTTTATTTTATGGGCAGATATAAGTTCTTGTTCAAAGTTCTACTGTGCATGTGCTTTAATTGCTATGTCGAGAATTTGCACTAAATTGCCAATTGGAATTTTTTCATTCTTAGCAACCTCTCTGTCACTTTCTTCAGCATAAATAGTGATATTTTCTGGGTTTTGAACCATACTACAGAGTTCACCATCCACTAGTTGAGTGATGGCTGAGACATTGCCATCACAGAACAAATACCATTAATAGGAAAATTCCATTTTTTGTTGTGGTATTCCCCCCCCCCAAAAAAAACCACCTTCAAAATCATAGCTATCATCATAAAGCTTAGTAACTGCTATATATTATTAGGTGATGTATCATGAGAATGCTGACTAAAGACTTGTTGTTTCGCTAAATTTTGTCTCGTTTCTATTGCACACTAAGCAAGTGAAATCTGAATTACATTAGTTTAGTTATCTGTTATATCTACTTCCTATATACATCTATTTCCAACCTATCTCAGTCCTAAATAAATAAATTTCCACATATACTTAAGACTTATCTCGAAAACCATTCAGTTATTCTTAATTCAAACAATAATAAATTTAATCTTCTGCCTATGACTATCACTTAGAAAACCTATGTTTTGCATATGGGAAGAAATTTCTTTTAAATTTCTCATTTTCTCAACATTTGGGATACAGTTGGTTGAAATGTGTAATAATTGCAAGTGGGATGTCAACATAAAAGATTACTATGCTGTTTGGCATTCAGTTACTAATATTTTTTTAAAAAAAGTTTGTGAATCATTTCTCAAGCTCTCATGACTTGACAATCATGTGTTGATGAAAGCAACAAATAATAAAAAATGATTTGCCAGTTTGGCATTGGGGATATCAGTAGGTGTAAAATCAGCAATGAACTTGGGTAGTGTTTCTGTTTGAGTTTTCTGCTATGCGAAATGGGAGTATCAGAGCCAAATTATTGTTATACAGACTTATACTAATAAATGTGTTTCTTCAACATCAAAAGGTTTTATTTAATTCTGAAGTGAAATCAAATATCCCTTCACACGATTTATTAAAATAGTGTCTACAGTGCATGCCTGAAGCATTAAGTATATGCTAAAGGAAGACACTGCTCTCTGAATCTAATTTTTTCTCCCGATTCACAAAAAACTCTTAGGGGGAAAACGTGTTGGTCTGAAGGTCCAGATATTATATCAACCTAAATATTTAACCTCTAGATTTTGAACATGCTGCATTAAATTAAAAGCACTTCATCAAGAGCAAGCAGTTTATTTTACTTTTATGCCATAAGTGGGCAATCAAATACAAATAAAATCATTTCACTAACATTTTTTTCATAGCATTCATGATTTACATCATTATCATAATGCAAAACATATGTGATGTGAAAAACCAAAGTTAGCTGTAGGGTTAATAGCAATCATTCTAAATAAGAATATTAACATATTCCATACCTGAGCAGGGCAAATAGCTTCACACAATTTGCAGGCAATACATCTTTCCTCTCCAGACAGATATCTCCGAAGTGCATGCTCTCCACGGAAACGAGGGCTTAAAGGGCCTTTTTCAAATGGATAATTAATAGTAGCAGGTTCTTTGAAAACATGAGCTAAGGTGACAGCCATACCTAAAAAAGAAAGATACAATATTAGATGTTATTTTGATTCTGTCCAGAAGATTAATTCAATAGATGGACTGAGATACATTAAATTGACTGAGATACATTGAAAAATTTGAGTATAATAAAAGAAGGAAAAAAAAAAGAATTAAACTAATTTTTATTACAAATATGTTTCAATATCTCTAACTTTATATAAAATTCTATTTACCTACCAATTCCCGAAGAGGAAGAACATTGCAAATATTTTCAAAACATTTTAATGACTTAAAAAATATAATTTTTTATTACATTTATTTTTGCTCTCTACTATTTGCTCATAAACAAAATTTGGTACTTTCTGGTGATTTGTACTCTGGAAGAGTAAAAGAAGTACAAAGAAGAACCTCTGAAATGTATAGTACACAAGAAGTACCTCTCTGCATACACCTCTGAAAAAGAGTACAAGGTATTCACAGATGTTTGCCCTGATTACAAAACATGATAACTCATGATTGTGCACAGATAATGAACCTGCATTGAACCTCAAATACATAAATTCTCCAAGTTGATAATCATATTGAAAAATTTAAACAAACTTGCATATGTATACTCCTGGTAGCACATAAAATATCCAATGAGTATTCAACTGCATGCCACACATTGTTCAACATTTCTGGTGTCACAGTGCGAAGTGGCTTGTAATACGCTGTCATAAGATCACAACATCAGAAACTGTTGTGTGGTACACATCTTAAGAGAAAGAATGAAATCAGAAAAAGGGAAATACAGAAATCTGGAGGAGGAAGGGTTATGTTATGGAAAGTGTGTGGCATGAAATAGGGTATATGAATAGATATTTTACATGCTACCTACCAGAGGTTCACATTTGCAAGTTTATTAACTGTTTTCAATGGAGTCATAAATTTTTCAATGCATGTTTTGTTATCAGTGTACAATCATGAGCTTTCATGTTTTGTAATCAATTTAAACATTTGTGGATATCCTGTATTGATGACACAATGTATGATGTCACTAAAAAGTATTTTATGTGGCAAACCTGATATGCACATGGCATTCTTCCAGATGGCTCTGCACTTCTCCAGACATTCACCAGTGTGACTGCAGATTATGATCCCTCCTACTGGAACTTCACCATTTAGCATGGCAATGGACTGCACAGTCCAGTTTTTTTTATTATCTTTGGTGATATTATGGACTTTGCTTTCTGCATGCACATAACAATATATGCCTTGCTAAAAGTGCCTATTTTTTCCTTCTCATTTTAAGATTTTGAGGCAGACACTGTGTGTGATACTGAGTTTGTGCAATTCTCTGTTTTTTTCCCGCTCACCAAAAACAGATTGAAGTGCATGTGGAAAGAGCAACACTGCAAAAAACTGAGAGCTGTGCATATCTTGTATGGATAAAGAAGAATATAAAAAACAGGCAAAAATGCATGCATTGTTGAAATAGTTATAATTGTTGGAAAATATAGCTTATTTTTAAACCTTTTAATGCATCATCTTTCCTCCTTGAAATGTTTATTTAGTTTAGTCCTTATTTTTAATGTAATATAGTAGTTACTTCTACTTCTTTTTCTTGCGGCCACTGTTTGCATTGAGAACGGACTGTTTCAACCTAATTGAGATGCAAAAACGAGAAACATGATTTACGTCATCCGAAAAGCCGATTCGTGCCGATAGCTGATTGCTTGCTGTGAGATAACGTCATTCCTATTTCTGCTATAAGTATCTCGAATCGCTCTGGCTCAACCCTTCTAGTTCCTGGTTTCCCAGCTAGTGAGTGAGCGGTTTCCAGCCCCTTCAAGGGATGCATGCAGTCCGGTGAAAGGATGCCTTGATTCCAGTTTGCGAGATGATGGTTCCAGATTGAAGTTCTTCGGTTCCGGGGGCTATCCTGTGAGTGACTGCTGTGGGCGGCGTCCATGTTTCTTCAAAGAGGGCGGAATTAAAAATACGCGAGCAGCGACGATTCCTTGTGCAAACGGAGTTAGGCCGATTTAAGTGTTTTCACATTTAAATTTTTCAGGTGTTTTCTTGACCACTGATTATGGACTTATTGAATGGGTAGCCAGTTTTATTTTTAGGCTGCATAGTCACTATTTAGGACATCTTCATTTTTTTTTTTTTTTTTTGTTTTGTTTTGTTTGTATAGAATGCCAGTGTTTTGGAGTACAGGTAAAAATATTTGATGAATGATGATTATGTTATGTTTTTCCTAGTGCTCTAATATTGTTGACATTTATTTTATGTGTTTTTATTTTTTATTATATTGTTAATAAATTGGTTAAGTTCAAAATCTTTTATTGTCTTCAATGTCTGCACAACATAACTCAGGGAGCTTTCATTGCTACTACTGCTAAATGTTTAATTTCTTTAAACTTTAAACTTTGCTTTAGCATCAATAATGATACCCAAATAAATGTTCTCTCAAAAATTTGCAACATGTTTGCAAATGCTCTCCAAACTCAATGGAGATGTGGATAGTCAGAAATTACGGTACTATTCCGTTTTGAGCATTGTAAAAAAATTTCAGTGAAAAATGTATGCACAAAACTGACAAATCTAGCAAATGCGCCCATTTAACAGCGCGCCAAATCTAGCGCATGCGCTGATTTCAGATTGTGTAAGTTTATATAGTCCTATAATTCTTAAGACGCCATTGAAATACTAGCTTAATTTTTAAATCCTTTTTTTATTTTAAATTCTTTTTTGATATCCTATGGATTTAACAATTTGGGAATCGTCCATGACAAAAAGTGTGCAATACAATTTTGGGTAAAGTGTAGAATCACCCACTGCTTGAAGCATTTTTAAGAATTGCACATACTCGATATCCATGTACACATCGACCTATTTTCACTTTAAAAAATAAATAAATAAATCTCACAATTGCACAAAAATAGCACTGAGCACACCCTTAACTTTATCTATTTACACATCAACCTATTTTCACTTAAAAAGTAAAAGAAAATTTACAAAAATCCAATTTTTTTAACCTTGTAAAAAGGAGCAAACAAATAAGTGGGCAATACTGCACATTACTGAGCATATTTTCAAAGAAAAGGCATCATTCATTATAGAAAATTATGTTTGAACAATCAACCAAATGAAACTATGCTTTAGCGATAACTCGGTAGCAAAATAGCGATGCAGGCATCCATTCATAGTTATGTTTAGCAATTTTTATATAAATTATGATAATGATCTGAAATAGCTATTTACTCTTATGCTTCCATTCAGTCATGTTTAGCCTTTTTTATATAAAATTATAATAATAAAAAGTATTATATGAAATTAACCTTTCATCTAAATTAAAACATCAATCTTAGATAGTTATTTACTATTATACTTCCTTTCTTGCGTTAGGGTTGCCGAAATTATTTTTGGCAGCACTGGCATCAACAATATTTTGCCGAATTTATGGCCCTCAAAACCAAATAGTACTGAAATTACCAAAAATTTTAATCTACTAACAAAATTGATTAATTTTTCATTAATTAATCAACTACAATATTATTAGCTTGAGTACTATATACTGCATTAAGATCTTAAAACAAATCAATGAAATTGCAAAAAATCACATTTTTTGATTAAAGCATTTTCAAATAATTAAATAATAGTTTTAAAGTAATTTACAGGAAATCTCAGAATTTTATAATAAAGAATACATATGCTAATTTATTTCTGTGTAATTCTTCATTGCACATATAATAATGTTTTGAAAGTTGGAAAAGAAAAAAAATATTTTACACTAGAAATCAAGTAAACTAAATATTTTAGGCTCCAGGTCAAATATTCAAAAACTTATTTTTTGAAATTATTTATAACAGACCTTTTCACCAAAATCACTAATTTAACATATCTACACATCCTATTTTTTAACTATCCTAATGCTTGAATTAAAACTGTACAACCTCTAAAACGATACAGTCAAAAGTCATTAATCCGGACTCGTCGGGACTTCGGCGATTTCGGATTATCAATTTTTCCGTATTATAGATCATCAGTTTAAATCTGGTAAGATGGCATGCAGAAATTATAAAATTAAAAATATGAAACCATAATTTATGAAATAAAGAACAATTATTATCTAAAGGGTATCAAAATTTACAAAAAAAAAAAAAAAAAAAAAAAAAAAAAGCTTAATATTTATTTGTTTACTTTATTAAACATTTCTTTCAATGTAAGTTGTTTAAGTTGCTTCATTTTATGTGATAATACTTTCTCTTTAATTCTATAAACAGACATAATTTCTTGTTCAGTTACAAAGTTCCGCTGTTCAAGTCCTATAATTGCTGTTTTGAGAATACTGACTAATTTTTCAATCGAAATTTTTTCGTTTTCAATAACCTCTGTGTCACTTTCTTCACTATCAAAAGCGAATTTTAATGACGAGGAATTTGATTTAAATCATATCGAAGACGGAGTACATCGAGATGAAATACTACATTTAGTAAGGAATTATAAGCCAAATAAAATAAAAACATCCGCCCTGAAGATAAAAATAGTGCTCACAGATCAACTTCCAATTCATTGCGCACCGCGGCGTTTCCCACCCCCCCCCCACACACACACCGTCGCAGAGCAGCGTCAAATTGATAAACAGATTTCGGAATGGTTAGAGAAACAAAGGATATGCCTTTATCCATTTTTTGCAGCAATTCTACTTTTTGTTTAATGGACTTCAAAACATACTTTTGCGTTGTAGATCCTTTACATATTAGTAAATATATATTGGAAATTCTATTTGACATAATCAAAATTTCAAGCTTACTTCTATAAAATTGCTCTAACAGTCTGGAAAAAGTAATAAGCCGGATCCAATTCGAAGATTAAGGAACAACGCAATCTGCAACATTAACTGAATTAGATAATTTTAGCTTAGCTTATACTGTCCGTTATACATTAAATGCGCATGTGTAAATGTATTATGCGCATGCGCACACGCATATTCCCAGCCGTAAAGGTCTTATGCGCATGCGTCTACGCGACGCAGAAAGTTTG